ATGAAAAAACCACACGACACAACGAAGAAACCTGCATGGAAGTATAGTAAACCAGAAAGACCGGTCAACGACAAACAAGACAAACCAATCACTGAGACTTATGAACTGAGGAACAGATGTGTAGAATAATTTGAGGAACCTTTGAATAGGTCAGCTCCATTGAACTTATTGGACATCGAAGCAGCACACACAGACCTTTCTGCAGGTGTCTCTCCACCAACGATCGAAGGAATCAAGATGGCCACCAGACAAATCAAGCGTCGGAAAGCAGTAGGACCCGACAAAATACGAGCTGAAGCACTCAATCCAGACATACAAGCAACTGCAAACATGCTCCACATTGTATTCAGGAAGATTAGGGACGAGGAATAAGTTCCGACGGACTGGAAACAAGACTACCTTATCAAGATACCAAAGAAAGGAGATTTAAACAAATATGAAAACTACAGAGGCATCACACCACTATCGGTACCAGGAGCGTTTTCAACAGTGTTGCTGGACCGGAAGAAAGATTCAGTAGACGATCATCTTCGAGATCAACAGGCCGGATTTCGTAAGGATCGGTCGTACATAGTCCGAATTGCGACACAATAGATCGTCATTGAGCAATCAATAGAATGGAACTCATCACTATACATCAACTTCTTTGACTATGAGAAAGCATTTGATAGGGTGGATAGAGAACCTTATGGAGCTTTCTTTGATACAGGTGTACCTGAGATCGTTAATATCATAAGACGGACTATACTGAAGGAGGATGTTTAAGAGACGCATTCCAAGTGCGGACCGGAATCAGACAAGGATGCTTGTTCTCCCCCTTCCTCTTTTTTCTGGTGGTTAACTGGATTATGAAGACCTCCACATCTGAGGAGAAGCACTGAATATAATGGACAGCTCGGTATCCAATAGACTATTTGGACTTCGCAGATGACCTAACTTGGCCCTTCTGTACCCTGCACAAAAGAAAATGCAGGTCAATACAACCACTGTAGCAGAAGCTTCAACATACACAAGGAAAAAACCAAGATCCTCGAATACAACACGGAGAACACCGACCAAATCAAAATCGATGGAGAAACTCTCGAACAGGTAAGATAGAGTTGGATGTAGAATGCTGGTGGGTGGCTTATGCTCCTCCACAAGGGGTAACATGTTTAAGTAAGTCATCACTCATCAGGTTATTTTTAAATGACTTCTTTCTTAGAAAACATCAAAAATCGCAGTTTATTATACTTAATCTCTTCAAGTAGCAAATGAGAAGAGACTCGAAGGGATAATTACAAGAGGAGGTCGTCACCTCATGAAAACTAAACACTACTGTTTAAGCATGATGGAAAAATCCCAAATTTGACTTTTTGATTTGAACACATACATATTGGTACAAGAGTGCACCACACAAATTTGACTGCTGGGAGAATTCAACTGAAGTTGAATAAATCATGTAACTCATTAACATGGTTAGCTCAAAACATGACAGTAGTCCAGGAATTCATTGAATATTGGGCTAGGGTGTGTACAGAGTTTGCACTTCCTGCATTTATTTATTTGAACACATAAACATTAGTACAAGGTGGCACAAAATACATATGCGCCACACAATAACAATGCCAGTAGTAATCATTGATTTGTGTGAGGTCCGTGATACTGCCCGGCTGCCCAAGCCGAGGCAGGTGATTTCCTTAGGGGCCACTCCCCGAGTCTGAGGTCCAAACCACAAGGCAGTGGAGCAACATAGGGAGGTGTAGTCCCATGGTAAGCAGTGACGGATAACAGGTTTATACGTCACTTGTTCTCTCGGGATCCTGGAGCCCATGTGCACCATTGGTTTTGAATCCTGGTGCTAAATTGAAATGCTGAAGGGAAACGGAAAAGAGGGAGGTCGAAGAATACACTGCTTTGGGAATTGGAAGCAGAAATGAAAAGGATCAATAGCAACTGGAAAGGATTGTTCAGAACAGAATGGGATGAAGAATGCTGATGTGCAGCCTATACTCTCCCACGAGGGTTGTTATGACAAAACCGTCCAAATATTTGTGTAGTCACGAAAGTTTACGGGTCCCCAACAGAACGGAACGCACGTTCTGTATCCCTCTACTAGTTACAGACCAACTTTGCTAAAATGTAACTAGATACTCAAATATTATTCAGTTTTATCTTTTTACAACCATAACAACACTCTTGGTTATTAATTAATGAGCAAGTAGAACTGTCTTGGTCAGTTGTTTTGCTCCTTGCCCTACTCGACCGTACAATATGTAACGGCGTTACGTCCGCACGGTAAAGTCTCATTGAATGACTACAAGACAGTCGTTTTTTCAATACTAGGATAACAGATTTTAAAAACTCAGATAACTACAACGTAGTAACGGGTCATCAGACTGACCTCAAATAAAAAATCGATCAGTTACACCGTAATTATATTTTTAGTAACAAGGTTAAAGGTCAACACTGTTTAAACTTATAACCATATTACTGAATTCTTTCGTAATTGCCACTTAATAGTAAAGATAAATCACTTCTGTTTGGTGAAGAATAGTAGGAATAATAATGGTGAACGAAAAACTAATATCTACTACACAAGTTCAGGGCATGTTAATTCAGTAGCCTAATGGATAGTGACCCTCGTTGTTGTAAAACGATGTTTGCTTCATTAAAGTATCTGTTGAGACACATTACAAGAATGAGATTTTACCAGAAAGTAATATGCAAGTACACATTGAAAATATCTAACAGAAGGATTTACGATGCATGCTTTTTCCAAGGTGGGACTTATCAGCCAGATATATATATTGTTGTGTTAATGTTCACACTCGCGGTTCCAAGTACCAGAACGTTCTTGAGCTTGTTCAATGAGTATATTTTACATTTACGAAAATGGATTTCCTACTATTCGTTTAAGGACGCTATTATTTATCTGTATTAATTTTATCGCTGTGTTGTAATGTGAAATGTAACAGCGACTTAAATCAATAGACATCTGCGTTACATTCTATGTTGTTTACAACTGGAACAGATGAATACAAATCTTCATAACATGAACATAACCCAAGGTTAAAGCTTGTTGATTCATGACGTACAAATAATGTGTACATATTGAAACAGAAGTATATAAACTCACCTACTGTATTGATTAATTATTTCTGCTTTTTCATTCTAACGATCACTTGTACGACAGTGATTAATTAGCGTTGTACTGTAACTCAGTGTGATATTAGACAAATATAATCGAAGTGAAATAAAAGGGATTTGTTTTACCGTCTGTTTTTTTCTTGTTTATGTTCCTGATTGATAATTCTAAAATCTAATTTACTGAGACTTTACACTAAACGTCACTAATTAGATGTGAATAATAATTAGAAGGATGAAAGAAATTAAATGACATTCGTTTTCATGCTGATGTATACCGCAATCAATGAGAGTTTAGAAAAAAATAAGGCTTTAAATCTAGCATTACATAGATGTATAAAAATCATTAACAGCTGAACGACTCGAGAATTATTTGGAAACTACCGAAGCCAATGTAGTTTTCATTAGATGTAGGCAAAAGTAACCGAATCAAATTTTTCAGGGCGAGTGCAAAGACAGTAGATAAGGAAGAACTTGTAGAGATGAAGTGTAATAATAGTGTTGTTATTTTAATGCTATTTAACTTCGCCGCAGCATATAGTTAGTTGGGTCAAAACAAATCACTGTGGTCTGCCTTGAGTACCTAGTTCTTCATTATGGTTAACAACAAATTTCGTTAGTTTACAATAACTTCCTATCTGATCATAGCATAATTATCATGAGGTAGATTTCCAGGAGAATCCTGCTGATATGCTAGTTATGTAGCCGAAAAGTAAACAGTAGTGAAAATTTTCATGGATATCGTAAAATTATTTTCACCTGAAATTTAAGTTGTTCAATTCGATTAAAAAATTGTTTTGTTTCAGCGACCTAACTTTCCTGATATTATAAACATGTATCTTCGTTCAATAATACCTCACATTCAGAGATGAAAGGAACATTCACACACGTAACAAGCTTAATTTTATTGGTCACCTGTAATAATTAGACGCCATGTTAGATGAATAACTGAACAAAGAGCGTGAATTTATAATAAGGTGCATTAATACTTTGCCTCGGTATTATCACGTGCAAGACGATGTATCTCTCAATAGACTAATCCGCGTGAATATGATAGATCGTTTACAAAAATTCGCAGATGACTGCTTTCTCTTGAATACTATACTACAAAATTCGGAAGACCGAAACAGTGAAATACGTTTAATCTATCTCTGGGAATTATTAAGTAGCATTAACAGATATTTAACCGGGGTTTGCCTATCTAGCACCAAAATAACTAGTCATGAAGTTAGTGTAAAATAGTTTATGTGTAGAAGTGTACAGTTCACAACTATTTACCTTTGCTGGGACATACTGAATATTGTCACTATTTTTACTCCATCTATTAAATGATTTGTTTGTTCAGTAGTGTAGTTAACTGTGGCGGCTCAAGTAATGATAAGTAGGGTTTTTCATGCACAGAAAGAATATCAATTAAAATGGTCTTTGATTTGTGTATATGCCTCCACCATCGCTAAGAAAACTGTACAAATATTTTTTGCCAAAAAAACGTTTGGTGATAAATGACTCCGAATTATGTGTAGCGAGGATGTCTTTGACTGTTATACAACGGCTGCCATTTCAAATAGGGAAAAGTTAAAATTAAACACATATTTGTTGTTATTTACCCTTAAACAATGAAAAAGCTCGAATATCAAAAAGAGAATCTATTTCCTTGATGCTACAGTACATTCTCACAAAATAACTGTAATATGCATTTCTGTTATTTTGTTGACAATTTCAATCATTAATGGTACGCATCGACTACTATTAAGAACTAATTAATACAGAGTAGAAGCGACGTACACTGAGTCTTAAAACTTCTGAAATTCAATCTTCTACTCATTCAGATATTATAAATATATTATCACTTTTATAAGAATTAAAAATTCATTCCGAATTCTCAATTTATTTGAAACTGTCAAGTTAAACCTCAGTAATAGTATGATATATATTTATCATTCGTTGGGGAAAAAAATGCAACAAACTGTGAATTATCTTATCGAACATTGAAGGTGTTGACAAATATTTATGTATATGGAAAAATTTCGTACTGATAATGTAAGAACAAAAACAGAGTACATTCATACTAAGATGTAGAAGTTATGGTGAAACTATTACTCATGGTCGACATCGACCCATGAAACGAGGATATAGGCAAACATCTCGTATATGATCTTTGCCTAAAAGCCAAGTACAAAATCGTTCAAAACCTAATCCATAGCCACCATGTGAACAAGTTCCAAATTTGCGCTAAAGGTGAGAAATACAAACAAACAAAATGGTAATAACAGTAAACAGTATAAAGCATTCTACATACAAAATAAATATTTGGAAGTATAACGTTATGAAACACTAAACGGCTAACTTTCACCGTAATATTTCTGAAGGAAGCACTCATCTTTGATAAAGCTAATTCACTAATTTTGAGTGAACTTGAGAAAGCAATAACTAAGTTGAAAAAAGAACATAGACAGCGATATGACTAAGACATGTGAATTCTAGAGGTGATCAAACATTAACAGACATATTAGATAGAGACTGTGGGTTGACCATACTATTTCTGATTCAGACCAAAGGTCATCACAGTTTACAAGGATACATAAAATCCTTTAGTGAAAACTATAAATAAAACATTTAGACTAAAACAGTTTCTAAAATATTTTTTCATAATTATTCGATGCTTAATTATATATTTAGGGAGTAGCAAACCCTGAGAAAGTTATACAGGTATTTACCTGATAGTTAACGGTAATGATTAAATGTCTATTACGGGTTTTGCAACACAAATATATTGATCGACGCCCTATTACAGTCATATCTATTGACCCAAATGTGGAATTAAGTTATGTCGACCAGGCAAGTCCATTGGGATTGAAATGATGATTAGTATAAGGAGTGAATCGGAAGAAAATTAAAGGTAACCTAGCCAAAGGATGTCACCAATCAATGAAGAAGGTACATGGTTTAAACGTGTTTGTTCTTTACTTTTCTTCAAACCTTGAATCATTTTATACAATCGTTCTCTCAATTCATTTTATGTTTTCTAAGTTCGAAGATACAATGGTTTCAGCTTCTTTGATTTCTATCCTGTTAACTATGATGATATGAAGTGTGACAGTTCGGGCTGACTCATATTTGCGTCAAGTTCTATATGGTGTTCACGGTTGTTTGATCGGAAAAAGAATAGAAACTTTGATTCAACACTTTTCTGATGATTGATCACGATAATCTAACGCCAAATATACTGAAATATCGTTTATCTTCTAATATCAACAAACTAAACAAGGGGAATACAGTGACAACATACTATAGTTAAGAGATACAAAAATGGATCTTGTTCATACACTAAACGCATCATATTCAACAAATTACCTGATCTGTATACCAGTAATAAGGAGTTGGATCTATTCCCTCTAACTGATATCCTTTGAGAAGATCATCAATATTATCCAAACGCATTGATCCACCGACTAACTCACCAACGCCTGGGACAAGTAGATCAACCTGCGAAATCAACAGACACAGTGATGTTGAAATCAATGAAGCCAAAAGATGTAACTTATTTAACATAGTTATTCTGGTTTGGACTCCTTGAACAGTTTGTACACTACTGATAATCGATTAAATCAATCAAACTGACAGTGTGTGACAGTACTTTGCTGAAGACGATGTTACAAGTTGATTCAATGAAATTATGCAGTATTAGACATTATGACTAAATAATTTAAAGGTATTGTGTTCCCATGTGACGTGGATGTGAAGGTGGTGCACGGTCCAATTCTGTGTGAGTGCAAAGATTTGTAGACTAGAACGAAACAGTTGTTCAGAGCAGATGTCCATTTATGACGTCAATTAACTATTTTCTATAAATAAAAAGTGACCAACAATGTTTTATCTTTAAATGTTATTGTGATTCATTTTGACTATGGTGTTGTCGATCTTTGTTTAGCTACCAATCCATAAAGACTTTACTTCTCGTCATGTAAGTATTTGATTATTGTTCAAAGTTATTTTTGTGTTCTACTAATTACTATTTTCAGACGGACTATGTGAAAGTATGGTGTAAGAATCTATTGAATTTATTCATTCAACTGAAAATATACGTATTAATGATAGATTAAAAAGCAATAAAGCAAATGAAGGCCAATACAGTTTCAAATAAGTTACTTTTAACTCACCTTAACATCATAACCAATTAAATATCAAAAAATGCAAAGCTTATTTGAAAGCCGATTGAACAAGAAAGGGGTTCTTGAATTACAAAGAACTACTTACCGAGTCAGTTAACCGTTGATCACCTTTAGTTCGCAACATATAGAAAACTTTTAATCCAGCAGGAAAATTAGTTAACAGAACTGGTTCGCCAATTGTGTCTACAAGTCGACGTTCAGGAGCCTCGGGAATGTCATCACCATATTGAAAAGGTGTAAGATCTTCTTTTGTAATACCTAAATTATTTAAATGAACAATTGCATCTTCGTACTTTAGTCGTTTAAAAGGACTTTTAGGTATTTTAAATTGCTGAAAAAGAGAATCAACCGAAATAAGAAAATGTTAATCTGATCATTGTGAACATGAACAAAATATGAACAATTTAAGCTGCATAAAACTAACAATGTTGTTAATCTGGCACACTTAATAGTGCACGTTCCCAAATTCAGTCAGTTAGTGATACTGACCACACACCCGCTTAATGTTCAAACTTGACGCTCTCGCCATGATGTTGAGATGATTATTGTGGATTCAACCTTCTTTCTACGAACTAATTCTTTCTTCCTGTATTATATCCTTATTGCAATCTTTCTTCTATATATTACCACCTCTGAATTAACTACTTTTATGAATCCGGTGTCCATCTTGTTGTGTTAATGAGATATGGCAATTTGGACCGATGCATATATATACCTGGTCCTACATTGTAGCTGACTGACTGGAGTCACGGGTACTTACTGTAAAAATTCGTATTTCAAATGATATCAAACAAGCAATCTGTCCAAATATGAAAGAAGCAAAGTTTGTAACTATAATCATGACAAAAAAGTATAATTTTGAATCAATCGCAGGAGCAGAATGATATCATGGAATATTTACTAATGAGTTATGGACATCCAAAAACTAATATGTACCATATTAAGAATGCAGCAATACACATCAACTCAACCAAGTTTACATACATACTAGTTATACAATTAAACGATGAAGTAGTCTGAACATCCTACTCCTAGTAGGTTGTAAGTGTGAACACGGTTGAAATATTTTCAATTTTTTTCTAACTTAGTTGGAAGAGTTTTGTGGAGACTGCCTTAGTTTGTCGGTTGTATTCGCTACAGAACAATCTCGGTTGGGACACCATTGAGAATTGTTTTATCTGAGTATGTGGGACTCCTCAGTGTTCTGAACTCAGGACACCATCACGAGAAAAGCTCAACCATTAGAACCACTGGGTAGAAGCATTTAATAGTACAGTTTCAGTGTCATCCAGTTTGGGGTACAACGATTATCCAAAATTATTATTGACGACTCTTTTTACTCCCAACCTGTTTGAACTACATCAGTCACGACTTAGAACTAGAATTTCAGAAATATCTCAAAGTTAGTCACCAGTAAGCCGACTATTATCGTCTAGTTAAAAGGGTTTTGTGAAGGTTGATTCAATTTGCAGGTTGTATTCATCAGTCAATGATGTAATCTACCTTTGAAATGAACTATCTCCGCAAATATCTAGTTCTATAATATTAGACAACTGAAGAAAAAACAAAATTATTTTGAAGCGAACAATAAAAACAAAAACTCAATATATAATTACTATCATCAGTGTTATCAAGAGCAAAACTAACTGGGTTCACATCTAATAACAGATCACCGGATTTTTTCATGATGCGATCACAAACATCAACAACTAAATCTTCAATCCGTTCTAATAAACCGTTCAAATCAATAAATGGACATTCCGCTTCAACGTGATTATACTCAGATAAATGGCGCCGAGTTCTACTCTGAAAATATCAAAAGAAAATTGAACTAGTCATACACTTAAAACGAAAATATATATACATGCAGTAATACCTTTGAAGTAAAAAGGGAGTAGAAGAAAGCAAACCGTCAGTTGTTGATAGAGATGGGATAGACGTAGAGCGTATCAGTAACTACAATAAGCTCCTAACTAAGGTGTAGAAGTTTTAGGTATCAAATATACACCAATAGTTCTCAGGAAATCATCACTAAGTATCGTCTAATTTTTCAATAGTAGTAAACTAATAATGCCGGAATTTCTAGAAGCATATTTATCGGATGACTATTTAGCCAAGATTCTCTTGTGGCTCAGTGATAATGAAGTGAAGAACGCCATAACAGTAGAACTTGTATAATCGAGTTTTAACGACGGCACTTGAGAAGCTTTAGATGAATGTTTCGGATACAAATACAAACGTCTCAGTATCTGAGCGAATTTATCGACAGGTAGCAACAAACTGGAGAGTAAAACAGAATAGTCGGAATAGTTAGCAACGATTAGTGCATGCCTTGACAACACTAGCAGAAACTGTGTGACACGAAATGGTACTTGAACATTTATCTCAAGAATCACAATCCCTAGAGGATATGGGAACAATGATTAAACATGATAATATAATAGAAAGGCAATAATGCTGGATTACGTAATATGGATAATAACAACGAGATAGTATGGGTGAATAAAAAAGCTTGTTAAATTAATAAGTTAACAACCGATCATAATATGAATGGAGTAAGATAATTAAAATGTTTTATTACAATAATTAAAGGCAATAGAGGGGGTAAATGAAGTAAAGTTATGTAAGGAAACAATAATGAATAAAATAATGGAAATATGATATGCCAACGTTTTGATAGGTCGGTGTCCAAAAGTGGCCAAAACAACTTAATTCAATAATGTAAGCGAATTCGTCGTTTCATCTTGTAATAGTTATAAATTTCCACCTGCCACTATATCAAATTATGTTGACGCCTGATATATGGTAATATTAATCTATACAAGAGTTTAAACATTTACTACCATTGTGTTTGCGCTAAAATGGGTGCTATTTCAAGTTGTATTCAAGGTAATCAGAGGAGTTTAGTAGCTGCTAAAAGAAACACTATACATGCTCAATTAACCCATGGTTATTATAAACAACCAAAATGCGTACATTTAATTGCAGACAGTTGTTCATATTCTGCAATAATAAAACACAAGATGCTATTTCTGGTAATGATTGTCCAGAACAACGTAAAGCTTCAATGAATCTCACGGCTCCCCGCCCCGTCATTGATAGACATGCAGCTTCGGTACTACTGGTCACTAGTGACTCAACAAAGATGAAGCCATAAATGTCACCGGATGGAGTTTAACTTTTAAACAGGCTCGATCCAATATGAAACCAGACAATCATACACGTAGTGATCTTGCATTCTTACTCCAACAATTTAATGAGTAGCAAATCGAGAAAGAACAATTTCCTTTAGCATATAATTAATGCATGTGAGGAGGTTCACTAGATAACATCCTAAGAGAATATCGATCGATCACTTATCAGACCAGGACCTTATGATTTAGCCGTCTGTATTTCTATGGGGCATCTCTTCTGCTATATTGATTAAGATAGGAATGGTTTACTTAGACTATGTGTGGACTACCGTTAACCTGACCTTATCACTAAGTGAAATTTATTCTGTTCCCCTCAGATAGAAAAGTTGATAGATGAGCAAGGTTCGTTAGTTCGGGAGTTATATTTTCAACACAAACTGCGCAAGCGCGAACAAATCCACGAGCTCTGAATACTGTGCACAACCAACAGTGTTCAAATGGGAATCTACAACACTAAATTAGTGGCAAAATAGAAAACAAAGATTGTTGGTAAAAACTTACTTTTTCAGCTCGATAGCTACGGGTTATGCAGTAGCAGTCACCTACGGCAGGTATACATGTTTCTAAATACAACTGAGACGACTGAGACATGAATGCATTCTCACCAAAGTAATTCAAAGAAAACAATGTAGAACTGCCTTCGACTTGAGTTTGAACAAATGTCGGCGGTAAAACCTAGAAAAAAACAAAAGAAACAAGTTATCCAGTTTATTTTGAATGAACTAGTATATGACCTAGTTATAATGGAATAGTATATATATAACGAAGTTCTTACGAGGGGCATTTTGATCTGAAAAACTTGAAGGTAACAATCATGGCTGACGTGTTGAACGGCGCAAATGAAAATCGCCAAAGGAGAGTGAGGTTACTTACGGCTTCATTGCAGATTAAGAACAGTAAGTATGAGGGTTTAAGTAGAACAAAGTACTGGAGACCAGTACGAAAAATATGACTGATTAGACTGTGATTATCAGTTTTATTTTGATGGTCAACAAAATGTATTATTTATTTCAACACATAAATATCGGTACAAGAGGGGACCAAAGATATATGCGCCACACCATATTTGTGTATGTGGGCTGTGATACTGCCCGGGTGCCCAAACCGAAGCAGGTGGTCACAACAAAATATCAAACACTAATCGAGCTTACAATAATAATAACTATTAATGCATCATTGAAAAATGATGGATAAGAGAGTTATGAATAAGTGATGACGTCGTTTAGTAACTTTATTTATCAGGTGAATATCAAGAAACCTTTTACAATATATATTATCTAAGTTGTAAATATAAACGGGAGTACAATACTAAAACAACGCAAATATTTAGTGATTCCAGGTTTTTCAATCATTCTTCTCTAGTTAATATAACGGTTCATGAAGTAAACCGACTATAAAAACTAAACTTATCTTCATATATATTTAGATAAAACAATCTCTGGCTAAGGGTATACGAAACGAGACTACTTTTGTAGCAAAACTAACCTCCACATAACCACGATCTAGGTAATGTGCACGGAAAGCTTCCAAAGCAACGCTGATGAGCCTGAGTACTTTCGATGTCTAAATTGAAAATGAAGTATCAAAATAAAAAAATATATACAAAATATAAACAGTTTTTAAAATAAAAACAATTGACATTAACACCATAGATCTATTCTCGTTTTTAATCCGTTTTTACAAACATCAAATACTAAATGTTATTTATGACTTTATTCCTTAATCTCATTGGTTATTTTTAGAGATGCATCTTATGATTTTTTACTCTTACTGACCCCAAATGCCCTTGAACGGTCGAAGGTGATGAGAGATCACTCTCCCTCTCGAATATAGGTGGCCTACTTGAATATCTGGGCTAGTTGATCCTGCCATCTAGATATATCAACAAGTTATCTGTTTTTTGTTTGTTTTAACACCTAATTATCTATTAGTTGCATAACCTATTAAGGCGCGTTTGTAAAACATTTACGACCTTTTGGTGTACAATTTACAAGAAAGTACAATCAGTGACACCAAGATTACCGGCAATATGAATGGAAAAGAATGAACATTATTCGGATGTTAATTTATGAACTAACGTCTAACTGGCGATCACTCAAGATGTTAATCAACTTCTCAGGAACACCCTCCTTCAATAGACAATCCCAGAGAACAGTCCTGTTCAACGAGTCGAAAGTGGCCTGGAATAAGTATATCAGTGTTCTGACATTTGTTGGAAATATGATCAATACATTCTCGACCAAAACCAGCCTGCTCTTCGCGAGCCAATCTTTCTAGTATTTTGAACAATCCACAAAGTATGACGGTAGCCAATAGTTTGGATGCAATCAGGAATAGACTAGTTCCTTGATAGAAACGACGTGAATCGCTTTTTAAATATAAGAACAACTATCGACTCGTTCTATGGTGTTGAGAGACTCTCTAATTGCCGGACCATTATAAATAACTCAGTTCCATAACCAGAAAGTTACCATCTTTAAAAAAAGCCGGGGTTAAGTCATCTGCGTCTGGTGATTTGTGGCGCTTTAAGAGTTGGAGTCCCTTGCGGACTTCTGCCTCATTAGGTGGATCAGTCGTCAGAGGTCACAGATGGAGAGCGAATTTGTAGTACTTCACTAGATTCTTGAAAACGAGTTTCGGAAAGACAACAGATATCGATACTAAGGCTTTTTAGAGACAACCCTATCTGTTGTCTGATCCGTATTAGTGTGCGAACGTTGAGGGAGGCCAGTTCGAATGGCATAAATTGTTTTAAAAAGAATGAGTAAGCATTCGTAATCGGTGTTAGCATTCAACTTTCAACCAGTGAGTGACTCAGGATCGTCTAGGTAGGATATAAACATTAAAATTAGGATACCAGTATACCCAATTGATGAATCTAAAATAGGATAAAAACGAGTGTTTTATATCCAACTGCTGACCACAATCCACATCTTATATAAAAAATTCGTAGCAAAATGGCTATATATCGAGACAATAAGTAGAGAATGCACATATGCCAACTAGAACTGATCAAAATCCAGTCAAGAATACAAACAACGGGATCATCCTTACAGATTAAGAACTAAAGGTTGTTCTTTTCCTCATCTGAGGGAAAAATATACAAGGGATTAAAAATGACAATGCTATATATCGGTTAAGGCTGCCACATTTAAAATTAAAATGGAAAAGGATTAACAGCTGGAAAAAGAATTATAAAAACGTAAGACAATGAAGATACTGATGAAAATGGTGTAAAAAATTCGGAAGGGAGATCGAATGAGAGCGAGCAATACGATGTTCAAAGATTTACATTGTTGACGTTTCATTTAAAATATAATTATGGGTGGTGATTATGTTCACACAAAAACAGAAACTTTGAGAGAACTAAAAAGATCATTAAACACCGCTTACATTTTCTCCTCGAATAACCAAATGTCTGTTGTCCAACTGAGTGTCTATATCACTTTCCACAGTTAATATAGAGTCGATACCACCAGCTGGCGCTTTACCAATCATCGTCCAACAATCAGCAACTAATTCTATGCCACCAGGAGCTGACTTACCAGATGGCAATTGTTTTACCACTCCGTAAACTTCGACAGTGGATTCTGGTGACAGCGTGATTGCATCTTGAGTTAAACACTTAAAAAGTAGTATGGCATAAAAAAAAAAATTGTATGTGGTCGAATTGAAAACGATTAAAAAACTATAGGCTAATTATTGATAGAGTAAATTAATCTGTATGCCCGACACTTTGGCCAGGTGGGTGGACACAAAGGATTCACTCAGGGAAGTTGGAAAACCCTGATCCCAAACCAATGGTTCACATTGGCTCTAGGATCCCGAGGGAACAAAGTGACCACGAAAGCATCTGACCATCTTGACGGGAGACTTAAACGCCAAAGTCAGAATGGATAACAAAGGGTATCGAAATACCATGGGACGATATGGGTTGACTGAAAAAAGGAACGAGAGTGGTGGGAGATTCGCAAACTTATGTTCACTCAACAAAACGGATATAGATGTCACAATATTCACCCACAAACGCATACACAAAGCTACATCGGTCTCAACGGATCACACTACACAGAACCAGATCGATCATAATTGCATCAACAAAAAATTCACAAGGTCAATAGAAGGTATGAGAACCAGGAGAGGAGCTGACATAGCCTCATATCACCACATGGTGGTTGCCAAGATGAGACTGAAGCCAAAGAGAGACAGCATTACAAAGGTTCAATACAGCCTTAATTTGAGATACTCACAAACTCAACGAATTCAAAATAGCTCTCAACAACACGTGCCACACCTTACAAGAGCAACTCAAAACAGAAGGAACCACTAAGGAGGACAATAGGAAAGGGATCAAGGAAGCACTAACATCAACGTGTCAGGAGGTTCTGTGCTTCAATAAGCATCACTAGAAGGAACGGATCTCTATCGAAACCCTGAACAGGATTTAAGAAACGAAGAACAAAACAACAATTAACAATAGCCGAACAACAACAACAGAAAGCCAACGCACAAGCAAGTGAAGAAGAGCATTAGATCTGACAAGCAGAAATACGTGGTAGACCTAGCAACGACGGTGAAAAAATCTGTAAGAGAAGGCAATATAAAAAAACCACACGACACAACGAAGAAACCAACATGGAAGTATAGTAAACCAGAAAGACCGGTCAACGACAAACAAGACAAACCAATCACTGAGACTTATGAACCGAGGAACAGATGTGTAGAATAATTTGAGGAACCCTTGAATAGACCAGCTCCATTGAACTCATTGGACATCGAAGCAGCACACACAGACCTTTCTGCAGGTGTCTCTCCACCAACGATCGAAGGAATCAAGATGGCCACCAGACAAATCAAGCGTCGGAAAGCAGTAGGACCCGACAAAATACGAGCTGAAGCACTCAATCCAGACATACAAGCAACTGCAAACATGCTCCACATTGTATTCAGGAAGATTAGGGACGAGGAATAAGTTCCGACGGACTGGAAACAAGACTACCTTATCAAGATACCAAAGAAAGGAGATTTAAACAAATATGAAAACTACAGAGGCATCACACCACTATCGGTACCAGGAAGCGTTTTCAACAGTGTTGCTGGACCGGATGAAAGATTCAGTAGACGATCATCTTCGAGATCAACAGGCCGGATTCCGTAAGGATCGGTCGTACACAGTCAGTCAGTAACAACGTAGAACTTCGTACGTACGTACAGCAGTTCGAGTTGCCACACCGCATTAGCACAGAGATGCAGTGGTCGATTGAAATCCTGTAGTAGTAGAGGTAATAAGACCGAATCGCGACACAACGGATAGTCATTGAGCAATCAATAGAATGGGACTCGTCACTATACATCAACTTCTTTGACTATGAGAAAGCATTTGACGGGGTGCCTCAATAAGCATCACCATAAGGAACGGATCTCTATCGAAACTCTGGACAACCACTGTGGTAGAAGCCTCAACACACACAAGGAAAAAACCAAGACCCTAGAATACATCACAGAGAACACCGACCAAATCACACTCGATGGAGAATCTCTCGAACAGGTAGAAAATTTCGCGTACACGCACAGCATCATCGATGAACAAGGAGGACCCGGTGCAGACGTACATTTCATTAGTGGCAAAGCAACGCCAGTATTCCTATAGTTGAAGAACATATGGAACTCAAAACAACTGTCTGTCAACCAACATCAAATTCACAACCTTCAGTACGAATGTCAACACAGTTCTACTGTACGCAGCTAAAACTTGCAGAACCACTACAACCATCATCAAGAGAGTACAAGTACTTATAAACAATTGTGTATGCAAGATACTCAGTGTCCGTTGACTGGATACCATCAGCGACAGTCTACTGTGGGAGAGAACAAACCAGCTTCCAGTTGAAGAGGAAATTAGGAATAGACGTGGGTAGTGGATAGGACATACATCTCGAAAATCATCAAACTGCATCACAAGGCGAGTGTTTGCTTGGAGTGCTGAAGGGAAACGAAAAAGAGGAAGGCCAAAGAACACACTGCGTTGGGAATTGGAAGCAGACATAAAAAGGGTGAATATCAACTGGGAAGGATTGCGTAGGACAGAGTTGGGTGGAGAATGCTGGTGGGCCGCTTATGCTCCCTCACAAGGGGTAACATGTTTAAGTATGTCTTCACTCGTCAGGTTATTTTTAAATGACTTCTTTCTTAGAAAACATCAAAAATCGCAGTTTTCTATACTTAATCCCTTCAAGTAGCAAATGAGAAGAGACTCGAAGGGATAATTACAAAATGTAACTAAACACTCAAATATTCTTCAGTTTTATCCTTTTATAACAACAACAACACTCCTGGTTTTTAATTAATGAACAAGTAGAACTGTCTGGGTCAGTTGTTTTGCTCTTTGCCCTACTCGACCATACGATATATCAAGCTGCTACATCCGCACGCTAAAGTCTCATATTCACCATACTTCCTGACTTAGGTACATGATACAATACCGATCTATGATCGAACAACTTGAGGGAAATGCTTTGAAATCAGTTGCAAATACATTAATAAACGTCTTATTTCTTGACTTCATTCACTCAAAAATAAAAAGCTTGTCATTGTACAAAACTTACCAGGTTGTTTGAAAAAACACATTGCAAAAACCCAGTACCATCCCGAAGAACAATGAACATTAAAGTTTTACTCTGACGACGTATTCGATGCACCCAACCATACACACGTACACGTTGATCGTATAATGTTTGTAAATCACGAATTTTACATTGTTTTGCTTCAGGTAATTTTGTGTCCAAAGTCAGTTGAACATCCAATGCTTCACTAAGATTACCGTTTTCAGAAGATGGCTGGAAAGAAAAAAATGCAACAGCCTAATAACAACAGCAAACAATGTATGTTAACTGTAATTCACACACAGTTTACGTGTTTGGCTTCGAGCCATACTATTTCTGTGAGGCCTATCGATTTTACTAGGATAGGTGGGGCTGAATTCAAACCCTTTATCTACTGAATGACAATCCAATGATCCAACCAATAGACTACATTTGGAAGCGCATGAGACACTGAAGAACAGCTTCCACAGTTAGCTTTATGTTTTTTACCACAGATGCTACAGAACAAAGTGGTTAATATTTACAAATATATTGTGAACTTTGTGTAGCAACTAAATGAATATTAAGATAAATAGAAAGATAGTGAGAAACGGTAGTAAAGGTTCGTTTAAAAATATCTTTACTTTCATATGACCTTTAAACATCTTTGCAATGTAGATTTATCACTATTCTAAGCAGCATATGTCTTAATTTTCATGTAATTCACTCATCAAGCTTAATATAATCGGCTTTGATCCAAACATTTTATGGAGACTGACTACTACTGAGAGGCAATATTATTTGCCAAGATCCATGTATATGAACAGAAAGCTTGAGTGAAGTTGTGCTTTTGATACATCCATCAACAAATATTTCAGTATGTCAAGAGTGAATACATACACAAACTATGTAGGATAGGATTGGCATTACCAGGATGGATAAAGAAACGTAGCAGAAGTTTTGCATGAGATGCCACTGGTATCTTATCCTTGTGTGGCATTCAAACAGTTTGTTAGTCCATACACTGTTTCGCACCAAGTTACTGAAGTGATGTACTCGGAGAGAATATCCAGTAAGATCTTGACAGTCAATATTTATGTCTTTATACACACAAATAATAGTCGTCATTTTTGCTACACTGTCGATACAGTAGTCTGTAACTACAGTTTTTAAGGAAACCCAAGGTGTCGTCAGTGACCTTAAGCAGCATTTATCTCGAAATCGCTTATTATGATGGATGTCTTGTACAATCGCTGGTTTTGGCACCAAAATGATGCACATATTTACTTAGATTTTAAGTTGATTGCTTTAAATTACTCAGGTAACAAAAATTTAAAATGCTGTAGTCACTATGGCTAGGTTGGTCACAAATGATAATACATGGGGGCTACAAAACGCACTAAGTTATGTGTAAATAATAGGTTGTGTAGAAGCCGCTAATACTGGAATAAGTAAATATTACATTATTTGCGAGCGATACTTACAACTTTTGCCTTTGGCATCTTATCCTGTTTTCTTTCTTGAATATGATATTGCTTGATCATCTTCTTTAGTTTCGATTTAGATACAGGATCCCACATTTCATTTTCAACACCATCAACCCAGATGCACGTATCCGCATCAATTTTCCCACCTAACTTAGCGATGGCCTGAAGAATAGTTTTTAGAGGAGCTTTTTCTGTTCCGTCTCCAGTTGTATCGGAGCCACGCTTTTCAGAAGTATATATCTGCATAGTGATATTTGTCCCGTTCAAGTCTAATAGGGGTCAAATAAGTTTAGATAATCACATCCAGGAATTATTAAGAGATAAATAGCGTAAGGTAAACGTAAGTAATGTTCATCACAACGCGTTAAGATTGCTAGGTGGTAAATATTCCATTAGATTGAACACATCTGATATGGGATCATGCAAATAAGAAGACTCCACAAAAACAGCGATATCCAGTTGTTTCGTGAATTTATTTTGGTAATATTAAATGGTATTTGGTCAATACCAGCAAATTTAAGTGTCAAATTATTAGTGTTTGGTATGCTATCTATTCAGTCCTATTAACTATATATTTTTAACTATTTCTAAGTTGTGATTTCTTGTCCTCATAACTATAATTGAAAACTTGCTATTCATACTGATTGCAAACCAACAACTACTGACGGATACAGCAAAACACCTGAAATATACCCCAGTTGCCACATATCAGAACAGTGAAAAAGTAAAGCATCAAAAACTAATGCTAGAAAAAAAGGGTACGAATGAGGACGTGATGACATATTTACATAAATTGCAGATAAGTTGGGTTTGTATACTCATAGAGGGTACTAGTTAGAGGGCCAGTGAAAACCAAGAAACACAGAACACATGTCTTGTTCTAGTATGAGACTTCAGAATGTAGATCCCGTACTTCACCAGAGATCGAACCTGAAACTTTCAGGGTCTAGGGTGAGGTTTTAACCTTCAGATCGTCAATTTGAGATTTTGTGGTTATTTTGTGATGTCATCACCACATAATTCAATGAACTACGCAACTCCCTATCCCGTTTAATTTTTTAGCTCTTAAGAAATTACACTAGTACTAGTGTAATGTCTGGATTTCAGATAAAACAAACATATCCACCGATGGGACTTGGATCTGAGGTAGCTTGTGTGAAGTCTGAAATGACATTGTATGGACAATGAGTGGGCGAAGCATTGTACGAGGCTTCATAGATGTGCATAAAAAGTCGAATTCAAAACAGGAGCGGACAACTCAGTAAAATATTGAATAGACTTACACAAAAAAATAGACTTAATCGACAATAAATAACAGTGAAGGTATGGTGTGAAGGCAATCTGGTAGTCGAATGCAGACCGGCAGTCAGACTTTAAACGTGTCACACAACTTCAAACCGCAGCTCGAAATCTAATATCCCCACCATACGAAATCCAATGTCACAATGAACTCAAACATCTGCCTTGTTACAAAAATATTACATTGGAACTATCGGGAATTAAAGATGGGAACTTTCATGAAGCCCAGTAAAAGAAACCCAGGTACTGAGATAGCAAGAGTGCAGGTTAGGTGCAGAAGTTTTGAATATTGTTTGCCTAAAGAACGTTACAAGCTGAGAGTTTAAGAGATAGTTGATAAAAACCTGGTTGGTGGATAATATTGGCTATTTTTTGCCTTTCGAATTTGATCCAGTGAGCGCATTTCATATTACTAGCTGTTAAGCATTTAAACTTCTGAATTGCGTGTCAGAATTAGCGGTGTAGCGGTAAATTACTCCCCAAAATAAATAGCTCTGTAAGTTTTCGACATTGGATGCTGACCATATGTTTCAGTGGACTCATCTAGCTGAAGGCGCTCGGTAATGCATCCTCACCAGATCACGTGTGGTAACGCTGCGCTCATCATCTATCGCAATCGCTAACCAGATTAGATCAAAGAATTCCGATATATTGGTTATCGCCAAATACACTCTTCCGATCTCCTCGATTCTGTCTTTTGATTTCTCTCGATGGTAACAAAGTATATTAGAAGTTGTTACTGGTAGAAGCGTTGTCAAACACTGAATACCTGTATCATCTTCATTGGTGAGACCGACGTGATTTGGTACACCTAATTGCAACTGTGAGTCTGTTCCTTTTTGGAATTTTTGTATATCATTGCCTTATTTTTTGTTTTTTGAAAATTGTGATTTTTTTCGTGTTTTTTCTCGGATATATATATAATGTCCCCTCGTTCATTATCGTACTTCATATTTCATCATGGCTGAACAGACACCCAAAGTACTCAAGCTTAAGACTTTGTCCCCGCCTTCGTTTCAACTCATGCCTTTTTGGCCCGACAATATCGAAGCCTGGTTCTGCTACGTAGAAGCCGACTTCTTCGAGCACGGTGTGATCGACACACGTGCACAATTTCTCGCAATAATCAAGGCACTACCGCGCGAATTCAACAGATACGTAACACCTAGTATGTTTACTAGTGATGTTCCCGAACCTTACGAAATCCTAAAACGTTCGATTCTTAAACGAGGAGACCTAACCGATCGACAAAGGTTAGATCAACTCTTCAATAACATCGACCTGCAACACGGTTCTGAGACTGAATGAGAGAAGTGATAGGCCTAAGGACTTTCGACGAAGGTCTATTCAAACAACTTTTCTTGTCTAAACTTCCTCAACAGGTGCAAGCGGTTCTGGTCTCGTTTCAGAACAACGCTTTAGACGAACTGGCTGCATCTGCCGATCGTATTTTAGAAATAACGAAATCGTCTACTACAGAGGTATTTTCAGTCGAAGAAAAGCCTCACACGGATCAGAATGACATAACCGAGTTATGTCATACACTCACGCATTATCGTAATATTCGTAACGACCGTAATCGCTCACACAGCCCGCGTAGAAACATTTCACGTAAGCGATCTGTCTATAGACCACGAGAGACGGATAACCCCGACTGGTGCTGGTATCATAACCAGTATGGAAAGTCTTCCAGAAATTGCAGAAAACCATGCAATTTTCCCATTTCAAAACCGACTGACTCGAAAAACAACTCGGGAAACTTCCAAGCCGGCACACGTTAACGGCAACCGTAGCCGGCGAACATCGCCGTCTGTTATACGTCACAGATATGACAACGAGAGTTCGCTACCTCGTCGACACTGGCGCAAAAGTTAGCGTTGTTCCAGTAAATCCTAACGACCGGCTTCACGAATCGACTCTAAACTTACAGGCGGCAAACGGAAAACCGATCGCTACGTATGGCAAAAGGTACGTTTACCTTAACGTGGGTTTACGCAAACCCATTCACTGGATCTTCGTTGTTGCAGATGTTTCTATACCAATCTTTGGTATGGATCTTCTACAACACCATAATCTAATCATCGACACGCGCGAACGGAGGCTAGCAGACGGAAACACTAATTTATCCGTTTGCGTAACTTCTTTTTCTGGTTGCAGATTATCCCCAGTCACAATTAAGCATATGATAAACCCACTCTATCAACCACTACTCGATAAGTACCCTGGGATACAACAAACTCAAACGAAACTACCGTGTGTAACCAGCAATGTTACACATCACATCACGACTACAGGACCACCTGTATTCTCTAAAGCACGACGACTAGCTCCTGAAAAGCTAAGGTTAGCGAAAAACGAATTCGATCACATCATAGACTTAGGAATCATACGATTGTCAAACAGCCCTTATGCATCTCCGTTGCACATGGTCCCTAAAAAGGACAGCAACGATTGGCGTCCAACTGGTGACTATCGGAGATCGAATACAAAAACCATTCCCGATCGTTACCCGTTGCCTCACATTCACGATTTGACAGCTACCTTGAAAGGTACAACTGTTTTTTCGAAAATTGACTTGGTTAAAGCGTATAACCGAATTCCCATGGCCACTGACAACATACCGAAAACAGCTATCATCACTCCCTTCGGACTCTATGAATTTTTGCGAATGTCTTTCGGTCTAAGGAACACTGCTCAAACATTCCAAAGATTCATAGACGACGTTTTTCGAGGTCTCAACTTCGTACATGCGTATGTTGATGACTGCCTAATCGCAAGTCCGGACAGAGAATTACATCTCAAGCATCTGGATCTTGTTTTCGAACGATTACAAAAACATGGCAATACTGTAAACGTTCAGAAATGCCAATTCGGAACCGACTCGTTAGATTTCCTAGGACACAATATCGATGCTCAAGGCATTCGACCTCTTAGGACTAAAGTGGCGGCCATTCATGATTACCCAGAACCGACCAACGTCAAGCAATTACGCACGTTTGACGGCCTGGTTAGTTTCTATAGACGCTTCATACCGAAAGGCGCATTACTTATGAAACCTCTTACCGACCAACCTCGTGGAAATTCGAAATCCATTAATTTGGACGACACCGCACAAAAAGCATTCTCCACAGTTAAGGAACTGACCGCTAAAGCAACAATGCTCGCACATCAGGACACCGAAGCACCCATTAGTATCGCAGTAGACGCATCCGACTCGGCAATCGGAGGAGTCTTACGACAATGGGTTAACAACTGCTGGCAACCTTTGGCATTTTTCTCTAGACGGTTACTAGACACCGAATCGAGGTACAGCATATTCGATAGGGAACTCCTGGCTAGGTATTGTGCTGTACGGCATTTTCAACACTATATCGAAGACCGTGAATTCACTCTTTTCATGGACCATAAACCACTCAATTTCTCGTTAAGCTCTTCTTCTGAAAAGTACTCTCCCCGTGAGTATCGACAGCGGAATGATCGTTCCTTTCTCATCAACGTCTTCGTGGTAGAAGAGCTTGCTTGGTTACGAGAAGTTGTGATTCCTCTCGCATCCTGTCTAAAAACTAGGGGGCGAAAACGTTTACTTGATAGAATCGAGGATTAACAGAATTAAAGTAATCCTGAGACTATTTTGATAGATTTATGGGAGAATACCACTACAATAACATAGGACAAGGAGACTTACTACATACTAATTTTACAAGCAAAAAAGTGTTGGCTTGAATAGACTCCTAATAACACCTGTGTGAATTTATCCTGTAAGCTTATACTAATCCTTTTCAAATATTCACACATTAACCATGCGTAATCATAATAAATCACAAGCTTGTGCAGTGAGCGAAAACTTATTTACTTCTGTACAGGATGTTTGAGTCATCCTAGTGATGTCTAGGATTACAATTGCGCAAATTAGTAGCTGTTTAAACTCAGTTCCTAACTCGATAACGCAATGACTTTGAAGAGAACAGTAGTGGGTTTTAGTCCTGCAGTGAGGATCAACTTTGTGATGCTGGTACATCCAGGTGACGAGTTTCAAACACGATTAAACGCGCGTCCTGGACTTCACTGCTAGCCACCGTCTATTCCTGCTCATAATGTATGTGAAAAAGTTGTTTTAGGTAATATCAATTTCTTCGGTGCTTGGTGATTAAATTATTTTGGATAATAATAATAATCATGAAACCGCTTGTAATCATAGGCAATCCCTTCCAGTTGATATTCACCCTTTTTATGTCTGCTTCCAATTCCCAACGCAGTGTGTTCTTTGGCCTTCCTCTTTTTCGTTTCCCTTCAGCACTCCAAGCAAACACTCGCCTTGTGATGCAGTTTGATGATTTTCGAGATGTATGTCCTATCCACTACCCACGTCTATTCCTAATTTCCTCTTCAACTGGAAGCTGGTTTGTTCTCTCCCACAGTAGACTGTCGCTGATGGTATCCAGTCAACGGACACTGAGTATCTTGCATACACAATTGTTTATAAGTACTTGTACTCTCTTGATGATGGTTGTAGTGGTTCTGCAAGTTTTAGCTGCGTACAGTAGAACTGTGTTGACATTCGTACTGAAGGTTGTGAATTTGATGTTGGTTGACAGACAGTTGTTTTGAGTTCCATATGTTCTTCAACTATAGGAATACTGGCGTTGCTTTGCCACTAATGAAATGTACGTCTGCACCGGGTCCTCCTTGTTCATCGATGATGCTGTGCGTGTACGCGAAATTTTCTACCTGTTCGAGAGATTCTCCATCGAGTGTGATTTGGTCGGTGTTCTCTGTGATGTATTCTAGGATCTTTTTTTTTCTATTGTCCAATTATTATAAGCACACTCCAGATCCTGGTTTACTCGAAATGCACAAGCAACAAGAAACCCATAGTTTAGAGATCCGAGTAATACGATTTTAAATTCTTTATTACTATATGTCACAGTGCAGTATCGCATAATAATGAGATATGTTATGACAAATCCTTATATTTGACTTTAACTTTTAAAATGCGTAATCACAGAA